CAGTACAGATTACTGAGGTGATGGACTGCAGTGGTACAGGCAAACCAATCAATCATGATCAGTCATAGGGACATAATTAATATAACATGTAATAGTCCTATAATGATATCCTATGACCCAAACAAATGGAATGTCTTGACATGTTCCGGTACTGTATTAATCAGTACCTTAGAATGAATGGCATGAAGGCCATATTCAGGCTATTTTTTTCTTCCTTGTTGGGAATACAGAACTTTATGAACTAATTCTTGTAAAGAAGGTGGATATTTTTTGTTATGCCCCCTTGGAAAAGGGTTTAATGGACTAGACATTGTCAATATGAACTAAAGTATCATTTATTTATTTATATTTATTATTATCCCCTTAGCAGCGTTTATTATTATTAAAATGGACTCCGACCGTCCGTCCGTCCGTCCGTCCGTCCGTGCACATTTGTCTTTTCCGGAGCAGAACTCTAAAACCGTTCAATATTTCTTCACCAAACTTGGCACATACATGGATCTGGTGGTGTTGTGGTGCCTTTTGGTAGTTTTGGAATTCTGAATAAAATATTTTTGGCGTTTCCATGGCACAAGTTCGACTTAGACTGAAATTGGTGGTAGCGCTCTTTTCCGGAGCAGAACTCTAAAACCGTTCAATATGTCTTCACCAAACTTGGCACATAGATAGATCTGGTGGTGTAGTGGTGCCTTTTGGTAGTTTTGGAATTCTGAATAAAATATTTTTGGGGTTTCCATGGCACAAGTTCGACTTAGACTGAAATTGGTGGTAGTGCTCTTTTCCGGAGCAGAACTCTAAAACAGTTCAATATGTCTTCACCAAACTTGGCACATAGATAGATCTGGTGGTGTAGTGGTGCCTTTTGGTAGTTTTGGAATTCTGAATTAAAATATTTTTGGCGTTTCCATGGCAACAAGTTCGACTTAGCCTGAAATTGGTGGTAGTGCTCTTTTCCGGAGCAGAACTCTAAAACCGTTCAATATGTCTTCACCAAACTTGGCACATAGATAGATCTGGTGGTGTAGTGGTGCCTTTTGGTAGTTTTGGAATTCTGAATAAAATATTTTTGGGGTTTCCATGGCACAAGTTCGACTTAGACTGAAATTGGTGGTAGTGCTCTTTTCCGGAGCAGAACTCTAAAACCGTTCAATATGTCTTCACCAAACTTGGCACATAGATAGATCTGGTGGTGTACTGGTGCCTTTTGGTAGTTTTGGAATTCTGAATTAAATATTTTTGGCGTTTCCATGGCAACAAGTTCGACTTAGCCTGAAATTGGTAAGTGCTCTTTTCCGGAGCAGAACTGTAAAACCGTTCAATATGTCGTCGCCAAACATGGCACATACATTGATCTGGTGGTGTACTGGTGCCTTTTGGTAGTTTTGGAATTCTGAATAAAATATTTTTGGCGTTTCCATGGCACAAGTTCGACTTAGACTGAAATTGGTGGTAGTGCTCTTTTCCGGAGCAGAACTCTAAAACCGTTCAATATGCCGTCACCAAACATGGCACATAGATTGATCTGGTGGTGTACTGGTGCCTTTTGGTAGTTTTGGAATTCTGAATCAAATATTTTTGGTGTTTCCATGGCAACAAGTTTGACTTAGACTGAAATTGGTGGTTGTGCTCTTTTCCGAAGCAGAACTCTAACACCATTCAATATTTCTTCACCAAACGTGGCACATAGATAGATCTGGTGGTGTAGTGGTGCCTTTTGGTAGTTTTGGAATTCTGAATAAAATATTTTTGGCATTTCCATGGCAACAAGTTTGACTTACACTGAAATTGGTGATAGTGCTCCTTTCTGGAGCAGAACTTTTAAACCCTTTCAATACTCTCCTTCCACTTTTCTATGTACACACCTAAATATTTGACATAATCATAACTCGTAGACATAATCATGAAGAGTACTTTGCCATTGCGGGGGATATTGATGACTTTGATAAAGAGGATGTAATGGTTGCTTGTGAAGGAATGCTATGTGTTTTGTTATTTGTCAATACATGTCTCATTTGTTCACTGAAACTGAATGCTATAACTCATATTTCATTCTCCTTCAGCATAGTACAAACTCTGACCTGAGTGCCTCGTTAATTAAAGAAGCCAAATAAACATTGTAAACAAAGAGACAGCTGAAACAATTTTGTAAGTTAAATGGCACATGGGAAAACATCAGAAAAACTCCACTTAGCCTTCCAGCAAGGTATCTCCAAGATGTCAGCTGTTTGTATAGAGCGTGGTGTCAAGGGGAGGGGGGGTGCTATCTATTGTTCCCTGCATGAGAGGAGGCAGACAGGGAGATGGGGTCAGGCACAAGAGGCTGAGATAAGAGCCCCCACCTTGATCTGTCCTGGGGCCAGCCCAGATAACCTGGTGTGGCTGGTGCAGCTACAGGATCATGTCATTAATTAACTACATACTTGACTGATTAATCAGTGGATCGTGTGACTGCTTCGTTGATCGGCTCAGTGCTTTGGTGAATCCATTCGGGGATATGTGCAAACCCCATTCAGTGATTGTGGTCTCAGGTAGATTAACACATAATCTTTGAATATACATAAGTTTGATCGAAATAAATCATTCCTTTTGAATTGAAAAGGAACCCCAGTGAGATGGGAGATGCAGAACCCGTGGAAAGGCTTTAGTATTGCAGAAAGGGCTAGTCGGAAGGGAAAATACTGCGGTCCAGGGACTGTGAGACAGACTAGTCTCGGGTATTCAGTTGAACCTGTTCAGACTTGTGAAGTTTTGATGATGTGGTAATGAGAGTTAAACAAAGGAACAGGTTATTTCCAGCACTTGTTTAAATATCAACCCACAATTGTTGAACTTAGCTAGAAAATATCTTTACGAGGTGTTTGATTTGTGGTGATTTGTGTTCTTTGTTTCATTTGTTGATTTGAAATGTGTTGATTTAGGGATAAATATATTTGATGATTAGCTGTGTAACTGGGGAGCTCTTCGTGTGAAAGTTAAGGGGTTCATGGGTCCTTTCAGTTTTGTGTTTATCAAAGGATCTTGTAAATCATTAAACTAATGCAACATTTAAATATATTTTTCATATTCTTCAAAATCTCTATTTTCTGTATAATATTTTTGTATAAAATTGTTGAAGGTATATGTGTTAATTAAATGTTGACATTCACACAAATTACATCCGTTGGATCGGCCCATGTGTACTTTAAGTAATGAAAGAAGGAAACACATCTGTTGGAATAAATTCAGTGAATCAGCCAGGTGTTCAGTAATAAGGTCAGCATGTTTGAAAATATAATGCTGTATTTGTTAAGCGACCTGCTCCAATAGCTGCCTGAGCAATTCTATACCAGTATGTGGGTAGTCTTTCAGAGTTTCAGCTCCTACTTAGACCAAACATTTACATAACAGTCCCTATGGTCTAGTGTTTAATAAGATTTTAACAGAGAACAGTAGTACAGAGAGGATATGTATTTGCCAAGGGACTGTTATTCAAATATTTAGTTTCATTGACATTTTTAACTTTTGAGCTCTAGGGGCGGTGGGGTAGCCTAGTGGTTACCGCGTTTGCTTGACAGGCCAAAGACCTGGGTTCAATTCCCCAAAGGGTACAATGTGTGAAGCCTATTTCTGGTCTCCCCCGCTGTGATATTGCTGGAATATTGTTAAAAGCGGCTAAAACCATACTCACTCACTTTTGAGCTCATTTTGTTCACTACTGATGATCTCTGAAATCAAATTTGATGTGTATGGTTTATCTGCTTATTTCAGTGAACATGTGATTATTCTATCGTCTTAATATTAATGTTGGGAGAAGTTCTCCTTGATTTTTTTGTACCCTGATCCACAATGAGCTGGTGTATTTATAGTTCCACAGTTTTAGGATGACTACCCCTGAGCAAGGCCTCATACTGATTTCTTATCAAGGTCTTTGATTTAAACTGTCCTTCAACAATTTAATGCCATAGTCACATAAAAACAATAGAGGATTATGATCAGAGTGCTGTATAAATGCCTCTACTTAAAACATATGTTATCGAATCAGTCTTGTGATTGGAATTGTGATCAGGTGAGTCATGTCTCGTTACTGGCCATGTCCCAGCAGATAGTCATGGGTTTGGTAGCTGTTACCTCAGGCTTCCCTCCCACATTCAACAGATCACCCACATAGCACTGCTCTGATGTCTGGAAGGTACAAGACATACTCCCACTTATATTATTGGAAATGGGTGAATGGCGTGGCTCTGATCGGGCTATCTTGTATTGATCACCTCACATTATTGTGACTCATTAGTGGAGCACTGGTAGTCCCTTGGAAGTTGACACTTTATATCCTTTGCCTTTTGTATGAAAGAATGAGGAAGTTTTAATGTTGACATTCCACCAGGTGACACATTCAGTATCACAGATAATGAGGTTTGGAATGCAAGCAAGGAACAAAACATCTGAATACTGCCAAACAAATCTGCAATACTTCAGAAATTAAAAGAGTCTCTCGTCCCCTTGCTGTTATATTGAAAAGACAGTGAGAAGAAATCATAAAGTTTTTCAGAGTTTTACTTCAATATGGGGGTCCCCTAATTAATAGTTTTAAGGGTCCTTGCAGGCAATACGAGAGTAACAGTTTAGAAAACTGTATGTTTTGATTATTTCTTTAGAGCCTGGAATGAATCATTGATCATGTGGACTGATGGATGAAATGATGCATGTAACTGCTCTGCAAGAAACAACCAAACACTTAGCGAAGTCATAGATGCATTGTGGGTACAGTGGATAATATTGTGTCCCTCTGGAAGCAGAGAATTTTATTTCTGCGTCCATTCTTTACATTTGTGTATACTGAATGCACATTTGCAAGGCACAAAAAACACTATTTTTCATTTCAGAAGAATTCAGTCTTTGTAGAAGGATTCAGTCTTTGTAAACATCATGATTTGATAGAAAGTCTTGACCAATGACCTTGATGATATGGGATGATGTTTAGCTAAATCATAAGGGCTAACAATGCTGTTTTGTATTTCCAGGTGAGAGCTATGGTGAAGCAAATGGCTATGGAACCCTCCCAGTGAAGAGGAGGAATCCTATCTCAAAGTTAATAAAAGAGGAGACCCAGCCCAAGCCTAGGATTAGTATTGGAATGCCTGAGGACTTCCGGAGAGTGTCTGCCATTATTGATGTGGATATTGTGCCTGAAACACTTCGTAGGGTAAAACTGATGAAAAACGGTTCTGATAAACCTCTTGGTTTCTATATTCGTGATGGTACAACAGTGCGGGTAACATCACACGGACTCGAAAAAGTACCTGGAATATTTATATCGAGGCTAGTTCCTGGCGGGCTTGCTGAGAGCACTGGACTACTGGCAGTTAATGACGAAGTTCTAGAAGTGAACGGAATTGAAGTTTCAGGGAAAACTCTTGACCAGGTGACAGACATGATGGTGGCAAATAGTGCAAATTTGATAATTACTGTGAAACCTGTTAATCAGAGAATGACACTCGGGAACCAGCGTGGAGCGCCGGGAAGACATTCCCAGATGTCTTCAACATCACAGCACTCGTATCGCTCCTCCAAATCATTTGACAGTGACACAGTTATTGAACACGACGAAGAGGATGAAGTTCATGATCATCTTAGTAAACCGGAAAAAGAAAAATCGGACAAAGACAGTGCTGTTGTGACATTGTAACAAATGTATTGCGTTGGTCGGAGTGGTTTGTAATACAGCCATGTTGTGCTTGTACAGTCGAGACCCTGTTCCAGAAACCTATCTCTGCACTAAGATGATCGTAACTCCTCTTACTGCTAAGATCCATTTGTGGATTGGGGCCAGGGCATTGTTCCACGAAGTGATCTTGCAGCTGGGCTGATTGTAGACACCATACAAAAACACAGGCTAATGATTATCATGGTGCTTACATGGTGTTGTGGAACAGGGTCCGGAATGGAATCTTCTTGCTGCAATTATCCAGTTGTGAAACGACACTAGCTACATTACCTCTATAAAACTATTGCATGGCGTATCCACGATGCTTCACATTGGCATTTTGCACTCTGGTGTGAACAGAGAATTCCAGCAACTTTTCATTCATCATAAAAAGAGAATATAATTATTATGCTTTGATGATGTACAGGCATCAGGTAGCCTTGTGGATCAGGTGTTTACTTGTCATGTTTAAAGACCCAGGTTTAGCTTCCACATCCCACAGCATGTGCCTGGTGTTCCTTGTTGTCGCAGGTCTGGAATATTGCAGCGTAAAACTGTTAACTTTCTTGCTTGTTTTAAAGCATTTAAACACATTGCTTAAGTCAAACTGTCTTTTCTCTGGAATATTTGTGGATTAAGGTGGATACCGTTTTGAACTGACAGGAAAACTCTGTAAAATCCTCAAGAAGGCACAATTTGCTTTGTCAGCAAATTTCTTTGGGGAACTGGGATTGGTAAAGTTTGACATTTGCATTGGAAAGAAACTGGCAACAATCTGTTGATTGTGTGTACCAGAATTTCTTCTGAGTTTATGGGTATATTTTATTTGTGCTTCCTGCAGTTTTTGGCCACTTGCTGGTGACAAGTGTAACGTGTTTCAGGACAATAGGTGATGTTCTTTTCTTCCACAAGCTGACACACAGCAGGCTAGCTCTATATTTATACATGTGTCTGTCCATAGTAAGTCTGTTTATACAGTTATGAAGATGTTCAAAATAAGCATAGACTGTGCCACAAACATTTAAAAATGCAAAACTGTCTATTGCGCAAATATTTGATTTTAATTGGTTGGTTGGTTTGTTGTTTAACGCTGCACTCAGCAATATTCCTGTTATATGGCGACGTTCTGTAAATAATGGAGTCTGGACCAGACAATCCAGTGATTAACTACAAGTATTTGAGTCTGCTAAACTGTCTAAGGCACAAATATTTTAGTACGCTAAAGTGTCTGGTGCAAACTTCTAAGTCCACTAAACTGCCTATGTCACAAACATTTGAGTATGCGGAACTGCCTTTGACACATTGTAGCCTTTCTAAACCTATGGACTAATATTAGCCTTTATTTTAAAAATGAAAAAGAATTAAAGACTCTCTTTTAGCTAAAATTTGTCAATAGTGAAAGTCCTAATAGCTTTAAGATAGATAATATTACCTCACTGCCAGAAGCTACTAAGTCGTCTGATTGTAAAAACTGTTGCACAGGTTGTGTTTGTTTAAGTGGAAAAAAGTATTTTAAACAGTTTATATAAGATGTTATGACAGATTCTTATTTTCCTAGTTCAAAGTTGCACCTTGTTATTGCACCTGGGGACCTGCACAGTCATTTTTATGTCACGTTCACTGTCAGTAGCAGTGTGTTGAAAAATATTTTCAGCGGTAGGTATAGAATACTTTAAGTGACATAAGTATATATAAATGCTTAGGGCTGGCTGCTGATATAGATCCTAGAGATTGATAGTCGTTGACTTAATTTTGATCGATTATTGATAAATATTGGATTGAGGTGAAATGGTATGCTCTTACCACAGTACAGTTCGTATTGCGGTACAAAGCCTTCGATTCGGTCCGTTTCGGTTCGGTATGTGAGATATGATCTTAATGCAGAAAATTGACAAGAGCCAAACCTAACATTGTTTAATAAAATGGAAAGAAATAACCATAATCTTTAAAACTGTCATTTTATGACAACACAGAAATCATACCCGAATTTTTGGATTGCATTGCGGTAAACCGAACTGAAGATAAAATGCTGTGGTTCCACTAATACAGCAGTATACCATTTCACCCTTAATATAGGAGAAGTAACTTTGAGCAAATATCTCTGAAAGAAATGAATATATTTGACATCACTGGTGAGTGGTGACAAGTTTATGCATGGATTGCTAACACAACAGCGTCCTGAACATAAGTTAGGAGCAGCCCATGAATAAAGTCCTAACTTTGTATATTGTGTGAGTAACTAAAACTATATGCGATTACAAAAGTTTATGTAAGATATTATCGATGGCACAATTTTCGTATCGATAATTTTAAGTATTTTCTCCGATCGACAATATTTCCGATTATCGATCGTTTTAGTCAGCCCTACAAATGCTCTTCTGACACATCTGATGAAGTAAGTAAGTTTTCCTTTGCTCAAAGTAATTACGTCTAGTTTGGGATAGATTTACCTTCCTTTGTAGTCGTCTAAGATGTTGTGTTGAGTTATATGAAGATTGCCAACAATTGGCCTCAGCATGAGAACAAATTTGCTCATCATCTAGTTGGCTACTAGTGGCTAGAATACTTGGCAGTGAGCCCATTTATTGATGTCATTTCAGAAGTATCTCAAGACTTGGACAATGATCAGGGAAAACAGTCTGCATCTATGGGAACTGGTCAAAGTATTTAAATAATTTTTAACTTATAGGTAAACTATACAATAAGGAGATATGTGTTTGCCGACACTTGCCAGTTGATATGGACAAGATATGTATTATTAGGCAGTTACTTTGAGCTGGCTGACTCTGTTGGTGGTTGAGTGCCCGACTCTGTTGGTGGTTGAGTGCCCAGCGTGTTATGAGACGTGATGCTGTGCAGCTGGATCAGGAGTTGGGGTGTCATGGTTTGCCAGACTCGTACGTCAGTGTATTAGTTAAAACTTGATTTGTGCTATTTCTGAATGAAATATTTCATGGTCCATTCAGCCATGCTTCTGTGAAGTTTGTGCCATGAAATAGTGAAGTATTGGTTCAGAGTTCCTTTTAGTAGTAAGATTTAGCATTTGTTGAGATAAACTAGAAACTAATCCAAGCTTTTATTGTCAGTTTTTTGCAAAACTTTGTAAATGTTATGTTTTGAAAGTCAATACAGACTATGAATCAAAATATGAATCAGTACAGAATTAATAGGTGAATCTATACATTAGCCATCATACAATGACCGCAGTATTCTGTTCGAGTTCTGAATGCGTTTGTGCATCAGTGAATCGTGACACCCCTTCTGATGAGAAATTGCATAAAGTATGTCCTTTGCTACGAACAACGACTGTTGATCTGTTTGCTGGTTTCTTAATCAGCTATTTGAGGATAGATTGCAATAATACAGAGGTTTTGCCCATGGGTATTATCTTGCTGCAAATATTATGTTATTACATGCATGTGTTTGAATAACTGAATACTTTATGTATATAAACTTGAACAAGTGATTATGAACAACAGTGAACAATGTGGTGCTTTGAAAGTAAAACACTTTTTGCCTTGAATTCTACTTGGATGAGATAAACTTGTTGAAATGGCAGGATCTATTTTTATCACTGAAGTCTTTAATTGTACAGATTCTTTCTATTTGAGCATGTTGAGCATTTTATGCATGGCTGTTTTGTTGTATCAAATGACTGAACTGTGTTTAAGAAGTGTTATCAATCCGATGGTTTTGAATGTGAATATCTTGCTGTTGCCACCATCTTCTGCCATGGCATTGTCCAAGGGAGGTAACTTGATGATACTGGCTTATCTCCCTTGGACACAATAATGCTGACTTTGTGCCTTTTATCAAAAATAGGTATAGACAGTTGAACTATTTTGTGAATGGTTTATATTGACGATATGAACAACATTGATTTTTAAGTCAAATTTGAAAATAAAGAATAATAATTCCTAGAAAAGTATTCTTTCTACTGTGAACTTAAATCAAACATGGCATTATAACCGGTGGGATTTTACTCTTGCTAAAAATTTAGATGATGTATTATAAAATTGCTATCAGCTGAAATAGTTCTCAGCTAGTAATGTTCATAACTTATTATAATCAAGTTGAAAAGAAAGTCAGTTTAATTGCTGGTGTTATATTATTGCTAAAGTCAGACTGGCTATCCATTAACATCAGTATTTTATTCCTTGCTTGTTTTCACTCATTTCATTGGCTAACCTACCAACTTGGCTGTGTGTCCCCACTATACTGCATGTCCCCACTATACTGCATGTCCCCACTATACTGCACTCTGGTTAAGTTAATAAGTCACTTTTACATTCCAGGCCTTTCACAAGCTGAAGACATCAAATGTCTGTTTTTATTCTGCTTGCTTGTGATCGTATCATGCTCTAAAATATCATATTTTACCTTAATTCTAACCTTGAAAACATTTTTAGACTTTCTGCTAATGTGTTGAAAGGAAAGTTTGGTCACTGAAGTTGGGGTATAGCTTATCAGAGTACATTTTGAATGCAACAGTAACATTTTTAGTAATAAATGACAAGTTTACAATAACCATTTAATTGGTAGCAGGGCTATGAATTTAATATTTGCTGAAAGAGCACAACTGTCCATGAATAATGTTTTAGCTGAATGACATTAATGCAACTAGTAATCCTGCCTGCAGTAATCTGTCCTGTACTTCATTCTAGTGAGAATGATGTCTTTCATTGTGCTATGTCATACACCCGTTCATCAGCATGGTTGTGTTCTTTGAAGGTCCTGATATATGAGTAGTGAAGCATCGCTCATAAAAATTAAACTTACTGAGTTTCTCAGTTATTTTTCTGAAGTAATTGGAAGTTTCCACTGTGTATGTGAGAAGTGAATGATTTCATGTGGTTGTATTTTTATATCACACTTGAGTTACGGATGCTGGTGGAGATGGATACTGACTATATGATAATCACTTGCCTTAACACACAATGCCTATTTTGCCAATAACATGGTATGGTTGTTGTGAGTTTACATGTTACATGGCATGCAGAGTATGTAGGACTTCCAGGCTGGAGAACTGTAACTTTATTATGGCACTGTGTTGTGATCAGTGCGGTTCTCAGATCAGGTGCCATGCTGATGAATTATTATGTTGTGTACTGTCAAAGCCCATGCTCATAGCTAGGTATATCTTGCAAGCGTTGAATATTGAACTATGGTAAATTGTAGGATGTGGGTTTTGCTTTGCACTATTCGGCGATCAGGTACTAAGCCCCATTCTTTCTTCAAGGGACCATGAATTAGTTTTATTTTGTCTGTAGATAATTTAGTCTTCTAAGTCACTTGGTGTCTTCATGTTAGTCTCTCAGTGTCTTTATGTTGAGGGGTACATGTTTATATTTACTGGCCAATAATACTACACTACCACCACTTGGCAGCCTATGATAGCAGCAGTACAGGGTAATAATCAGTGGTTTATGATTGACTTTGAACCTCGGTAAGGGACCAAACACATTATCTTCTTGAATGAGATGACAGATCATGAAAGTTCTCCCAATAATAACAAATGGCAGGCCCAAAAGACATAAATTATTCTTAATGACCTGTTTATAAGTGTTATTTCAAGATTGTTAAATTCAAACAACCCGATCAGTGTTGCTCTCTCCTGTTAAGTTTTTTAGCAAAAAGAATTGTTTGGGTTTTGCTGAAACAATAGGTCACATTGGTCACTCGTAACGTGTAAAAGTTAAATGGATGTCAAATCAATAGAGACAAGTTAACATTGATGTTTTTATCTCGTGCCTAATGAAAAGATGTTATTGGGGCAAGGAACTGAGCAGTTTATTGTAACAGACATATATATATTTCAATGGAGCATGGAACATCTTCAGATTAACACGACTTACTACCAGTGTTGATGCATGGGATACAACAAGTGTCTGTTGACCTTCCCCCACGTTTACTCAACTTCGACCGTTATTGATGCAAGTCCAGTTCTGTATATATTTGTCAAATCAAAACCTATTTGAACATCGGGGCAAGCGCTACAATATTTGCCATTCCTTGTTTTTGTATCTTCCTGCCTGATGTACCTAATCTACAAGAGTAACTTTTGCTATCCTAGAGCCAGCGACAACTTCAACATTTCTCCACATCCTCGTTCTCTGCCCAGCTTGCAAGCAAAAAAGCATCGTCTGCTTTCATTCTGCTCCATTTGTTTTTAAGAATTTTTCTTTATGAATTCAGCTAGTTTTCTGACGTAAATATTGCCGTACTGATTTAAGCTTGAATCAAAACATAAACTATCCTTATTGTATTTGATGGTGATATTACTATAACCATACAATATTCAATTTATTGTCATATGATAACTGCATATAATCCCCCTTGTTAATTACAGCCAGCGTATCATACTATACATGTATCATTGAATGAGGACATTGTATCATGAGATATAATTGTCCTGTGCTCAGTTGACTTGAGCTCAAAGGTTGTGAACTATGTCTGTATATATGGTAACTTAAAAAGACAAGTACATTTTAGTCTGTTAACCTTTTTTTAATTGTGATGGTTTGAAACCATTCTGCTTATTTTTAAGATGAAAAAAACCCTGAATTGTTAACCATTCCATCTTTATTTCAGGTGACTTTTTGCATGTGTAATGTTTATATGCAGGGAGATTTTTTTATCCATATTTGTACATAGGATATTTACTACTTGAGCTACTGATAGCCTGTAAGTATGCAGAGTAGCTGTAGACACAACCTGACAACAATGAATAAAATAATAACTGATACAGTGACTTATGTTCTATTGTTACTTGGAGGCGTTGTCTTGGATGCTGCTGTTTCCAAAGTTTGGACCCTGTGTTGTCAATGATTTATCGTTGTTTCAACAAAGTTGCAAACACCTGCATGGACTGATCCAGAGGGGGGGCTGTGAGGTGTGCATCAATTAGAACGAAAGGTGATTCGGCC